GGAGGAGGAGGAGGAGGAGGAGGAGGAGGAGGAGGAGGAGGCGGAGGAGGAGGAGGAGGAGGAGGAGGAAGAGGAGGAGGAGGAGATGGAGGAGATGGAGATGGAAGAGGGGCAGGCAGGCAGTGTGGGGGTCGAGGGCGGCTTCGCCAGCGGGAGGCCAGCGGAAGGCGGCGTGGATGTAAACGATGCGTCCCCAAGGAGATGGCAAGTTTTTTTGTTAAATGTTTCTGGACTTCGCCGTGTGTGTGTGTGTGTGTGTGTGTGTGTTTTTTTTTTTGTGTGTGTGTGTGTCGTTCCCGCCTGGGCGAATCGTGCGCTCCGAAATCTTAGGGTAATGAGGTCCGTGGTGGGCGCTTTCTGGCCACACCGCTCGGGTAGCGATGTGCTGCCAAGCTTCTGTTCTGCATGTTCAGGTCGGACGTGTGTCTCCAACAGGAGCGCTTGTGTAGTCCTTTGTGGGAGCCTCAGAGGGTCCCAGAATTCCTTGCGGTTTTGGGAATTTCTTCAGGATTGTGGTGCATTTGGTCGCCACGTGGACGAAATCTTGACGAAATGTGGACGAACGGGTGAAGAGATGTGGTCAAAATGTAGACGAAATCCGGTCGAAATCACGTTTGTGATAGGGCCGCGGAGGTCAACAGAGGCTTCCGTGAAGGCTCACCCAGGAGCATTCCACTTTGGTATGTCCTTCTGCGTCCCATATCCCGCCTTGCACGCCGTCCCAGCGGCAACCCTCACGCCTGCACCCCTGCGCCCGTAGCGCATTCATGGGATGACGTATCCATGTGATCGCGCCCAAGTTTCCAGACCGCGGGGACACGGATATGGGTATGTTGATCGGTGCCAAGCGAGACCCGTTCCCGAGAGTCAGCGTCGCCAGAAAGCCACGGCATCGCGAGCAGGTCACGGCCGGAGCTGTAGACGTCGTCATTTTTGTCGTCGCCGGCGTCGTCGTCGTCGTCGCTGTCGCTGTCGCCGTCGCCGTCGCCGTCGGTCGGCGTCGGCGTCGCCGTCGCCGTCGCCGCCGTCGCCGTCGCCGTCGCCGTCGCCGTCGCCGCCGCCGCCGCCGCCGTCGTCATCGTCGTCGTCGTCGTCGTCGTCGTCGTCGTCGTCGTCGTCGCAGTCGCCGTAGCCGCGGCCGTCCCAAACGTCTGGCGCGTTGGCCCCTGGATGGTTCCATCGTTCGTCGCGTCGCGTCGCGTGCTACACCGCCCGCCCGGCGTGCGCTTTGCGGTGCCGCGCCCGCGCGCTGGGAGGCGGGTGGCCCGCGGAGAGCACCCGCACGCCAGGGGCGCGGCCACGGGCCGTCGCGCACTGGCGCCTGTGAAGACAGCACGGCCCACTCCCGCCCCCCCAGCCAGGACCCCCACTTTTTTGCACGCGCGAAGGGAGCCCCTCCCCCTCCTCCTCCTCCTCCTCCTCCTCCTCCTCCTCCTCCTCCTCCTCCTCCTCCTCCTCCTCCTCCTCCCCATTTTTGTTGCCCGCGCGAAGGGAGCCCCGTGGCACAGGGAGCAGGCGGGGGGGGAGGGGGGGAGGGAGGGGCGGGGGGGGGGGGGACCGCCCCTGCACCGAGGGCCAGCTCGGCGCCTCCGGCGCGCCTGTGCGCGCGGCCTGGCGGGAGCGCCGGGCCGCCCGCCGTGCGCCTACACCCCCAGCCAGGACGGGGCGGGGGGGCGGCGGGCGAGGGTTGTTTCTCTGTGGGGACCTTCGGGGCCCTCCTCCCTCCTCCCTCCTCACTCCTCACTCCTCCCTCCTCTCCTCCTATCTCTGCCTCTCCTCCTCCTCCTCCTCCTCCTTCTCACCCTCCTCCTCCTCCTCCTCCTCCTCCTCCTCCTCCTCCTCCTCCTCCTCCTCCTCCTCCGCCTGGCAGCAGGACCCTCCCGTGCTACGAGGTCGGGAGGGGGTGCCCCTGGCTCGGGGCCGGTGTGGGCTGTGCTGTCCTCAGGCTCGGGAGCGCACGGGCCACCCGGGCTGGCGCCGCAGCACCACACCGCGTCGGTGGGGCGGCCCAGGCGGCCCTCCTGCGGTTTCCCCGCGAGGCAGGTCACAAGGCTAGAAGCTTCCGGCAGTCGAGCGTCGCACATAGGGAGGGCGGATGTGCCCAGGAAGCAACGAGTCGCCCGAGCGCCGCGCCTGGGGGAGATGGGGAGCCCAGAGCCTCTCAGGAGATCTGTTGCCCACGGAGGACGCGGCCATACCCAGAGATATCCACGTACATCTGGCGAAACCGTGGAAGCTTTGGCGCGAAGCGAGGCGGATAATAATAATTATAATACTAGTAATACTAATAGTGACACTATTAATAGCTTTAAAAATAGTATGACTATTAACAATAAAATATTAATAATACTAACAATACTAATATTAATACTATTAATAATATTAGTACGAATAATATTAGTATTCGCAATAATAATAACAATACTAATAATAATAAGAATAATAGTAATAATAAGAAGAAGAAGTCGTTGAGCCCTTGCCTGCCGTGCCTCGCCCCTCTGCCTCGCCCCTCTGCCGCCCCAGGCGAACAACAAGAACGGCAACGGGGACTACCTGCTTGGGCAGCAGGAGCCCGCAACAGCCTTTCATGCTGCCCCCCATCTGGTGCTGGCTCTGTCTCCTGTCCCTGCTTCTGTCTCTGCCTGTATCTCCGTTTCCGACTCTGTCTCTCTGTATCTGTGTCTTTCTGTCTTTGTCGATGTTTCTGTCCCCGCCTCTGCATCTGACGCTGTCTTTGTCTTTTTTTTTTGTGTGTGTCTCTCTCTCTGCCCCTCGTTTCTCTCTGTCACCCTTTCTCTCTCTCTCTCTGCCCCTCTTTCTCTCTGTCTGTCTGTCTGTCTGTCTGTCTGTCTGTCTATCTGTCTTTTTTTCTCTTCCTCTCTCCCTCCCTTTATCCCCAGAGACGCGACCTCCTCCGGCGATGGCGAGTTTTCGGGCCTTCGCTGGCACCTTCGTGCCGCGGAACGCGCGTCGGCTGCTGGTCGACGCCCCCACGTCTCATCGCCCGTGGAGGCCCAGGTCTGGGCAAGAATCCCCCCCCAAGCTGCCCCCCCCAGCCCCTCCGTGATCGAAAAGAATCTCCAGCGCGATTCTATCGATCCCCTCACCTGCGATTCTCTCGACCCCCCGCAGGCGTCCCCGCGCCTGCTTCGGTCCACCCCGCCCTGGTCCTTGGACCTGCGCGCCTCACGCGTGATGCAGTGCACTGGAGGACAGCAACGCCTCGCCTCCGTGATGCCAGACCCCTTGATGACGGCCGCCGACGGCCCTGGCCCAGCACAGACATCTTGCCTCCCGCCCACTGGATGACGGCTTACAGTCGGACCGAGGTTCAAGATCGACGTCGATTCGGGGAGGGTGCACTACTGTTCTTCGTGTTGGTTGGATGTTCTTGAGCATCCTGGGGGAGGGTACAGTGGGGGCGCGCATCAAGAAACCATCTACTTCTCGTCAGGGGCACCCTGGGTTTCTTCGCTCCGCGCGCTGCGCGGCCACTTCCCGCAGCCGTCAGAGAGGCTGCTGCATTCAGGGTGCTCCGTTCTTTCCCTCGGGTGCACCTCGCGCGCGCGGGCTTTCAGGCTTGGGTTTCATGCGAGGGTTTCTTGCGGCTACGCCCGCACTGTGCCCTCGAATGCCCTTCATTTTGGCCGGCGGAGGGCCTCGGAATCTTGTAGGCTGTTCTTCTGGCCCAGGTCCGACTGGGAGGAGGAGGAGGAGGAGGAGGAGGAGGAGGAGGAGGAGGAGGAGGAGGAGGAGAGGAGGAGGAGGAAGAGGAGGAGGAGGGAGGAGGTGGGAGGAGGTGGAGGAGGAGGCTGGAGGGAGAGGGGAGGAGAGAGGGTGAAGGAGGGTGAAGAGGAGAGGAGGCAGAGGAGGAGGAGGCGGAGGAGGAGTCTTCTGGCCCAGGTCCGACCTGCACCTCTCCAGTGGAGCCTGCTCTGCCCTCTCCGTGCTGCGGCTCGCACGGGCGCCGCCCACCTTCCAGCACCCCGGCTCTTTTTCGGTGCCTGCGGCCGCCTGCGCGCTCCTCGTGGCAACGACTCTCTACTCCCGAGGCCTCCCCACCGCGTTCACCCTCCTCCTCCTCCTCCTCCTCCTCCTGTCCCTGGTTCTCCTCTTCCTCCTCCTCCTCCTCCTCCTCCTCCTCCTCCTCCTCCTCCCCCTCCTTTCCCTCAGCGGCCGCTCTCTTCTTTCCCACTTGCCTGGTGTGCCCGTGCCTGGCGTGGCCCGCCGGCGGACCGACCGCGCTGGCGTTTCCGCCCCCGCCGCTGCCCCCAAAAAGAGTTTCGGCGACCTCCCACGCAGATCGCGCCCCACAGGGAGCCCCAGGCATTTTTACGTCGGCGGCTAGGCAGGGTAACTGCGCTGGCGGAAGAGCCATGACCACGGGAATACCGTTGAAGCGAATTGTGCCAGAATGCAGGGAAATGGAAGGGGACAGGGAGGGCGGTCGAAGGAGGAAGAGGGAGCAATGGCCGCTCAGGGGGACGGTCGAACAATTCGTTCCCCGGTTGAGCGACTCGTTCCCCGGCGGAATGTCGAAGTGTTTTCTCAGTAGATGGAATTTCTGAGAGGGTTTTCGGCGGCCGCCAAGAAGGTTCTTGGCCACTAAGAGGGTTCTTGGCGGCCCCTGAGCGGGTTCTTGTCGGCCCCTGAAAGGGTTCTTGGCGGCCCCTTCGAGGTTTCTTCTTGACGGCCCCTGAGAGGGTCGTTGGCGGCCCCTGAGTTGGGTCCTGGCGGCCCTTGAGAGGGTTCTTGGTGGCCACTAAATGGGTTCTTGGCGGCCCCTGAGAGGGTTCTTGGCGGCCCCTGAAAGGGTTTTTGGCGGCCCCCCAGAAGGTTCTTGGCGGCCCCCAAGAAACACTTGGGGGCCCCTCCCTGAGAGGGTTCTTGGCGGCCCCCAGGAAGGTTCTTGGCAGCCCCCGAGAAGGTTCTTGGCTGCCCCCAAGAAGGTTCTTGGCGGCACCTGAAAGGTTTGTTTGGCGGCCCCCAAGGCGCTTCTTGGCGGCCCCTGAGCGATTTCTTGGCGGCCCCTGAGAGTCAGAGGTTTGTTTGTGGCCCCTGAGACACTTCGTGGCGGCCCCTGAAAGGGTTCTTGGCGGCCCTTGAGAGGGTACTTGGCGACCCTTGTGAGGCCTCTTGTCGGCCCCAAACGCTTCTTAGCGGCGTATGAGAGGGTTTTTGGTTGTCCCTGAGAGGGTGCTTGGCGGCCTCTGAGAGGGTATTGTGCGGCCTTTGAGAGGGTTTTCGGCGGCCCCTGAGAGTGTTCTGGGCGGACTCTGAGAGCGTTCTTAGAGGGTTCTTGGCGTCTCCTAGGAGGGTTCTTGGAGGCCCCTGAGAGGCCTCCTGGCGGCTCCTGGGAGGCCTCTCGGCGGCCCCTGAGAGGCCTCTTGGCGGCCCCTGAGAGGGTCCCTGGTGCCCCCCGACAGGGTTCTTGGTGGCACCTGAAAAGGTTTCTTGGCAGCCCCTGAGATGCAAGAGGGTTCTTGGAGGCACCTAAGAAGCTTATTGGCGGCTCCCAGGATGCGTCTTGGCGGCCCCTGAAAAAGGCTTCTTGGCGGCCCCTGAGAAGGTCATTGGCGGCCCCTGAGAGCGTCCTTGGCAGCCCCTTCGATGATTTTTGGCGGCTCCTGGAAAAGGGTTCTTGGCAGCCCCTGAGGGGGCTCTTGGCGGTCCCATGGGAGGCTTGTTTGGCGCCCTCTGAGGCACTTCTTGGCGTCCCCTGAGAGGCTTCTGGGCGGCCCCTGAGAGGGTTCCTGGCGGCCCTTGAGAGGGTCCTTGGCAGCCTCTGAGAAGGTTGTTGGCGGACTGCAACGGGTGTCTGGCTGCCTCTGAAAGGCTTCTTGGCAACCTCCCATTGGAAGCATGTGGGAGCCCTGTGAGATGCTTCTGGGAGGTCTCTGATAGCCCTTTGAGAGGCCTCTTAGAGCCCTCGTGGAGGCCTTAGAGGGCCCTCAGAATGATTACCCCTGTGGGAAACGTCTGGGAGCCCTCGGAGATGCCTCTGGCAGTCCTCTGAAAGGTCTCTGGTAGGCTTCCGAGAAATCCTCGAGATCCCTCAGAGGGAGTTTCCAGAAGCCGTCTGAATCGTTTATTGTGGCTAGGTGGCCGCGGCTGCACTCCTTCGGCTGCGCACGTTCCTGATGGGCCACTGTCGCGGGAGGAGAAGATGCGCATGCGCGCTATCCCCATCCTTTTCGCCGTTTTGAACAAAAGGAGCCGCCCGCACCTCCTCTGGGCCTTCTCTGGTTCCCCCCTCAGCCCCCAGAGGCCTCGGGCCCCGCCTCGCACGGCGCCTCCCTCTGGGATGCCTCCAGAAGGTCCCTGTTGCAGGCGAAACGCAAACAGGCAGAACAACATTCAGACCGACAGTGCGTCAGAGCAAACGAGCCGTCGGCAACAACATTTAAGCTCGAGCAAAACAAGCGAACAAACGAGCAGGCGAGCAGAGCAAACGAGCAGGCGAGCATGACAAACTAGCAGGCGATTCGAGCAACTGAGTAGGCGACTGACGGCGGCGACGACATTACTTTGCGCCGCGGGCCCCCTTTCATTCACGACTTTCAGCACTGACGGTTATGGTGGGTTTCTGGTGCTCGTTCCTGGGTTGCGAGCTGTTGTGCTCGTGGCTGGCTGTGGGTCGGCGGTCCTCCTCCTCCTCCTCCTCCTCCTTCTCCCCCTCCTCCTCTTTTTCCTCCTCCTCGTCCTCGTCGTCCCTCTCCTCTTCCAGCTCCTCCTCCTCCCGTTCCTCCCCGGGTTCTCTGGTTGTTCCTCCTTCAGCCCTTCCACCTCCTGTTCTTCTTGCTCCTTGTCCTCGTTTTGTTCCCCCTCCTCCTCCTCCTCCTCCTCCTCCTCCTCCTCGATCCTCTTTCCTCGTCCCGCCCTTCTGTTCCCGCTCCTCATCGATTTTCTCTCCACTTCTTTTTCCTCCTCCAATTTTTCCTCTTCCCGGCCCTCTTCTTTTTCATCTTGTTTTTTTTCCGTCCACTTCTCCTCCTCCTCCTCCTTCTCCTCCTCCCCCTCCTTCTCCTCCTCCTCCTCCTCCTCCTCGTGATGGGCCCATCGCGCGCAAATCCTTCCGGTGATTCAGAAGCGCAGGTTCTCCAACATTGGGAAGAGCAGGACCATTGCCACGCACGCTTGTACAACAACATTTCAGACGAATTCGTTTTCCGGTCGGATTCACGTTGTTTCGGCGGCAACGTAAGTGGCTATGTGTAAGGGTTGAACTCGCGTTTCTTGTCGCTACGACATCTTAACGCAACGGTTTTAATTCAGATTTCCGCCGGGGAGCGAGTTCTTTCAAATTGGTGTTATTTCCGCCAGGGAACGAGTCGAACAACCGGGGAACGAATCGCTCAACCGCGGAACGAGTCGCTCGCAGGGGGAGGGGTCATCCAGAGCGAGTGGCGCGGCCGTCCCCGCAGGGAGCCCCAGGCATGCGACGTCCTGCTCTTTTCAATACGCGGTCCCTGGAAGTCCCAACCCTTTCCCCAGGACCCG